CAGAACTCCCTTTATAAGCCACATGCACCTATTACACATACAATTCCAAAACTCGAATGCGTGGCGCAGTCCCGATTAATCTATGCTACATCTACCGGCTCATATTTTACACCCTTTCGAGAAAAATTTCACCGCATTTCCCACCTTTAGGTGGCTCTCAAAGCACTGAGAACCACGTAAAGGTGGGAAATGTGAATGTTGCTCATATGATTTACTTGATTTTGGAAGAAGTTGTAGTGCATTCGGCGCTAATGAATCCATTTGGCATGGGCCACGTTCTTCATAGAGAATCGTAGTGCCAATCCTTTCGGATACCAGCTTGTGTACCTGGCTCATTCATTTAGTTTTATCTCGAGCAAATAGCCATATAACAGATCACAAGGAGGTAAATGGCTTCTACGCTCCAGCGCGATCTAATCGCGAATGACGGTACAATGATAGGGCCTCTTTCTGTTGCCACTCATCGACCCATGAAAAAATTTGGGTTACCCGTAACTGTTGAAAATCCTCCTCTGGCACAGTTCAGAGGTCGCTCTAGGAAGGGCCGAGGGAAGGAGGAGGGAGTGAGTCGAATTCCTCGCCGATAAAATAAAGGCATGGAAATAAAGGAGAAAAACGAAGTAAAATACCGTATTCTTGCAAATCTCATATCAACACTAAGCAACCCACAACCCATGCAACACAACGACAACTCAGACATGTTTATGTACTGCCTTCACCACGCGGTGTAGATGATATCAACCAGTACACATTCTGTACCTTTTGGTGTACTTTGCTTTGATTGCACTGCCTTCTCTGTCATTTTTCATTGACATTCCCTGAGACAGGAAATTCCACTACCACAAAATCTTATATTTTCTTTTTCTTTCCATTGATTAATTTTATTTTTCTTCATAAAATCTTAATTTTCTCAAAATCCTTAAATGCACACCACACATTACCTGGCCGTGATTCCATATCGCAAACGGTTCAGTTTCGTTACGACTGGCTTGCTTCCATTCTGCACACCCCTGGAACCAATTTGGAAAATAACACCTCTTACCCTGCTGATAATAACCTGGAAGTTACTAAGTTCCTTTAAAAAGAATATTTCAGTAAGGATAAAGCATTTGCCGTTGATCAATCCCTTTTTGGGATGCGGCACGCATTCTACTTCCATTTGTACATTCGTAGTGGCGTTTGAATGCGATGTGGCCTATACAATGACTTGCGGGGGCCAGCCGATGTACAAGTCAGTGTTTTTATCCTCCCAGACAAGTCTGGTACCAATTACTGACCCCGAAAGGATGGAAGACCTTGGGGGCCTGAGCGAAATTCGATTTGAGATTTCAAACTAGACTGTGCGTCAGAGAAGTGTCGCACTGCCACTACACCACCTCTGCCAAAAAACAGTACTTCATTTGTCAGACAAACTGTTATCATATTTATTTTGTCTGTTGTCTTAGATCTGGCACAACCTATGGGTGAGAAACACAAACATTTGAATGTACAATCATTCCGTTAAAACGCACGACGTTGGTCATTGCCATAGACGGCATCCTAAACTCGAACAGTTGTACTGTTATTTTTCAATTGCCATGGCTTCACGACATGCACGTTCTCGCTCTCCTGAAAAATCATCGAAATGTGCAGCCTCTCGACAGCTTATCACCGATCAAAAAATACAACTCACGTCTCTTCTCCGCACGTTTCCGCCTCCTTTTCTCCATCAAGAGCAATTCCGCCTTGGACTGGTGATAAACCTCTCGAAGTTCGCTCAACCTTTTTTCGAGAATCTCGATAGCGTCATCCGTTGCGAGTGAGATATCACCTGAAACGCAATCGATTACATTGCGTAAAAACCTTATGTAGTGTATGAGGCCCGTATATGTCCACGTAAGTCTGAAGTAAACACCGAAAGAGAACAGAGTTTATTATGAACAAAACAATAAATGAACAGAACGGTGTGAGAATAAAGGGAGGTAGACGAGTAGAAGTCGTCCAGTTGAGGGGGTTCCTTGAATAGGGCGAACGGCGGCTGCTGGAGTAGTCGTTGGGGAGGGTTTCTGACGAGAAGACTTCTGGCGGGCCCGATGCCCGCACCGCCGGAGACCAGAGGACCAGAAGTTCCCTATAAAAGGCAGGTGCCTCTTGAGAAGTCGTCTTCCTCTGGTCTCCGGCGTGCGGGCATCGGGCCCGCCAGAAGTCTTCCTTCAGGAACCTCCACCTCCCCAACGACTACTCCAGCAGCCGCCGTTCGCCCTATTCAAGGACCCCCTCACCTGGACGACTTCTACTCGTCTACCCCCTTTATTCTCACACTTCTCTCTGTTCATTTCTGTTCAGTTATTGTTTTGTTTCTAATAAACTCTGTTCTTCTCGGTGTTCGCTTCAGACACACGTGGAGATAATCGGGTCTCATACACTACATGGGGGCCAAGCCATTCCACACAAACGTCTGAAGTGAACGCTGTTCTCATCTCTCGTGCATCGCCGAATAGTGAGAAAGGCGTATTGACGCGTATATCGCGACTATGAGAAAGGCTGTTGTCGTGCTAACGAAGTGGTTCAATAGAAAAAATGGATGATTGCAAGAAATAGAAGCTGGTTGTGCCTGGCCTAGAGATAACCAGAATGGATCAGGACAAGGAAAACACCCAAGGCTCCGAGGTGAGTTGCAATGGGAAGGAATTAGTGACCCTATTGAGGGGTGAGATCAAAAAAGCCATCGAGTCGATAAGGGGCCTAGGTCCAAAGATCAAAGACGATCTGGAAGAGGCACGAATAGCCCCGAAATATAGATCAGTCATAGATAAGTCAATAGAACAGCAGGTCAAGAAAGCGTGTGAGACGCTGGGGACGCTAGAAAGTAGCGCAAAATCTTACCTCACTTTTGGCAAAGAGCTAATGGAGTCCTTGCAAAAGAGGGGAATCGAAACATTAGAGGACTGGGACGACTTTTTGGGAGTCGTTGACAGAGATGGGAGTTTACTAGCAGAGATCTGCAGTATGCTAGACACAAATGTGTTACAGGTGCGAGATGTGGTCGGAGAGATCCAGAAGCTCCAAGAAAAACAAGCAAAGGATATGATGAGGAATCAAGACGAAATGTCTGATGAAGAGATGGATGGTATGGAGATTAATCATAGAAGACGTAAAGCGTATGAATTGCCAAACAATGATGAAAACCGACGATTGCAGATGACGACACAAGTGTCCGAGCGGAATCACGATCCAGCGCCGACTGGAGCAGCCTACGGGCAGCACTTGAGACCGCATTTGGATCGTTGGGAAACAGCGGCGGAGCAAACCGCAACAGGTGCGAATTACATGGAAGGCTTTCTAAAATTCTTACAAGCAAGTAGTTGCGTTGACCCTGGTGTGTTTCGGGGGAAACCAAACGAAAACTTCAAAGAATTCCTACGAAGGTTCCGAAGGAAATATGGACCGTTAGGATACGGTGATAGGACATTATTAGAAATTCTGGAAGACGACCACTTGGGCGAAAAGGCCAAAAATGTATTCTTGGCAATCCCACAAGAGAAGTTAGAGGAAGGGTTCGAAGCGGTGGTAAGAGAATTGGAAAGGCTTCTTTCGAGCGACTCAACTGCGGCTAGAATGAGAGCTCTAAATGAGCTAAGGAGCTTGAAATTAAGACCAAATCAATCCATCTCTGAATTCTGCGTAATACTAGAAAAACTCGCTCGTGAGGCTAACCCTAACAGTAGTGTGACAGAAAGGTCGTTAGAGTACGCGCAGATACTGTTGGATAACGTGAGAGAGTGGCCGGAACACGTACAGTTATTGAGTCTCCTGCATAGATCAGACCCCGGTAACGCGTATAACGAGATCAAACAATTAGCGATCACTATAGAGCAAGCAAGGACAATGTATGGGACACCCCGAAAGAGCACGCCGACAGGTACGGGGCACAGGCATACAAAAGCCATAGGGAAAGTGATCGGTTCAGACCGCCCAACACTGAAGAACACCAGAGGGGCTATGTAGATGAAAAGAAGGAGGATGTTGAGACTCGAAAGTGTTTTTTAAGCTGTTCAAAACTAGGACATATTGCCTCGGAACTGCCCGCTAAGAAGACCCGTAGTCAATAATAGTAGTGGAGAAACCAGCAAAAACGAAGGACAACAAGGAAGGGACGCGGATCTCTGATCTGATGCGTCAAGCGAGATCGATGGGAATGGTGGTAGAGAAGGGTTCTGCTGAAAACTGACCTAGTCGGAGAGAAGTCGACAGCATGGGGTAAGCATGATGAATGAAAGAGTTTCGGCGCTGATTGACACAGGATCAATGGTAAGCATTGTTCCAGTAGGCCTCCTGGCTAGAGCACAGAAAAATGGATTTGA